GTGCGGTCGAACCTTTCAGGAGAGCACGGGCTTGTTTGCCAGCCCCGTCTTCTATACGGCAGGTGCTGTGAGCAACGAGACCGAACACTGCGAGTGGCGAATAACGGCAACGCACGGCGAACGAGTGGTGCTGCGACTCGAGGATATGGTAGGAGAAAAGGACAACGTTCTGTTAGTGATTTATGATTAACACATTGCTATCATTCTATTAGAACATATTCAAGTCGAACAACTGCGAGACTGACTATCTTGAAGTGCGCGATGGCTACTACTTCAAGTCGCCGCTAATTGGAAGATTTTGCGGGAAGGTGGCCAACGATGTGATCACCACGCAATCGAGCCGCATGCTTCTAACCTATGTGAATACCCATCGAGCTGACGGCTATCGCGGTTTCAAAGCAGAGTTTGACGGTAAGTAACCAGAGAGATAGTGAGAGCTAAAGAAAATAAACGACAAACTGGTGACATTCCACTTGTCTAGTTGTATGCGGAGGCGAATTGTCCGTGGATGACTCGGAGGGTCGCTTGGAGTCGCCCAACTATCCGCTCGACTATTTGCCCAACAAGGAGTGCGTGTGGAAAATTTCTGTGCCAAAGGGCTTCCAAGTGGCGCTGAAATTCCAGTCGTTTGAGGTCGAAAACCATGATAGCTGTGTCTATGACTATGTCGAGGTGCGAGACGGACCCGCTCAGGATGCGCCGCTAATTGGCGTTTTCTGTGGCTACAAGCCGCCACCGAACATGAAGTGAGTGCCGACTAGTGCCAGTGCCCGTGCCCGTGCCCCAGCCACGGCTGGTCACATCCACAACCCCATCCACATCGTCGCCCATCCACTCAAACCAACTCTGCTTTGTTCATCGTCACTCATTCAGGTCAAGTGGCAATTCGATGTACGTGAAATTTGTGTCGGACACATCGGTGCAGAAGGCGGGCTTCTCGGCCGTATTCATGAAGGAGGTTGACGAGTGCGAGACGCAAAATCATGGCTGCGAGCACGAGTGCATCAACACGCTTGGCGGCTACGAATGCAGCTGCCACATTGGCTATGAACTGCACAGCGATAAGAAGCATTGCGAGGGTAAGTAGCTGTTGTTGTTTTGGTCGTTGTGGTCATTGTTAGTCTGGTTGCTGTTGGTGCACATTAGACGCGTTTATCAATTATTGTGCTAATGACCTTATCGACGGGCATGCTTTCAATTTAGATGCCTGCGGAGGTGTCATCGAGTATCCGAACGGCACAATTACTTCGCCCTCGTACCCGGAAACGTATCCCATGCTGAAGGAGTGCATTTGGGACATTGTGGCACCAGCCAAACATAAAATCTCACTGAACTTCACGCATTTCGATTTGGAGGGCACGGCGCATCAGCAGTCCGACTGCGGTTACGATTCGGTGACCATTTACTCCAAACTCACGGAGAATCGCCTAAAGCGCATTGGCACCTACTGCGGCAGTGCGATTCCGCCCACTGCCACCTCGGACAGTACTGCGCTGCGCGTTGTGTTCCACTCGGACAAGTCCATACAGCGCACGGGCTTTGCAGCCGTATTCTTCACGGACATCGACGAGTGTGCCGTGAACAATGGTGGCTGCCAGCACGAGTGCCGGAATACCATTGGATCATATCTGTGCTTCTGCCATAATGGGTATTCGCTGCATGAAAACGGGCACGACTGCAAGGAGGGTGAGTGCAAGAACGAGATATCGGGCTCATTTGGTACCATCTACAGTCCTAACTATCCGGACAACTATCCGCCGAATGCGGACTGTGTCTGGCACTTCTCCACAACACCGGGACACCGCATCAAGCTTATCTTTAACGAGTTTAATGTGGAATCACATCAGGTGCATTAAAGCCTTTTCTCACTTGCCAAAGCGCATTAGACAATCTGGTTTTTCTCACGTTCTAGGAATGTGCCTATGATAATGTGGCCATCTATGATGGTGAGTCGGAAATCAGCTCCCTGCTAGGACGATTCTGTGGCGAGAAAATACCCTATCCCATATCTTCCACTACCAACCAGCTATATATGGTACTGAAGACGGATAAAAACAAGCAGATGAATGGCTTCATGGCAATGCATTCGACCTGTAAGCATCCGATTGAGATTGAGTTTTGCAGCATTAGCAAATTAATCTCGTTTTTTTTGTTGCAGCCTGCGGTGGCTATCTGCGCGCCTCCAACCAGATTCAGCAGTTCTATTCACATGCGCGATTTAGCAACCAGGATTATGACGATAACATGGACTGCGAGTGGACCATTCAAGCGCCGCCCAACAGGAATGTGCAGCTGATCTTCCTCACGTTCGACATTGAGAGTAGCGAGAATTGCACCTATGACTATGTGCAGGTGTTCTCCGGCATGGAGGACATCAGCGGTCCCATGTATGGCCAATACTGTGGCAATGTGGTAAGTGATGTTCACCTGCTGGGCTATAGCTCATTGTCTGACTTCCTCTGTGCATTGTGCATTGTGCATTGCAGCTGCCACAAGACATCATCTCGATGACCGACTCGCTGCTGGTGCGTTTCAAAACTGACAGCTCGGTGCCGATGAAGGGCTTCTCGGCATCGTATGTGGCCGTTGATCCATTCAAGGGCAGCGATGAGGATATGGAGAGCTCGTACAGCTCCGAGATGGTCACACCCTTTCCAGGCTCCCTCAAAAGCATATACAAGGAAGACACCGAGGAGCCGGATGACTACAGTGACTTCAGTGAGAACCAGCTGGTGAATGCTCAATATCGTGGACGCCATATCTTACCCATTAGCTATTCATCATGGACGAACTAGGAAGATTCGCCGGACACACGAAAATCATGACAATATATTAAAACGGAATTTATTTAACTATTTAGGCATATCGTCGCGTACATATAGCAACATTTTGCTCTCTTAATATATAATTATAGACTTCATTTTGACCATAATCAAATATTAAGTATACATAGAAATTCAGAAGAAACCTTTAGGCTATAGCACGTCAAGCATATCGCTGAAAATGGAGGAGAACAACTCGTTAGCTTTACAAAATTATTTGATCGGTCTTCAAAAGGACCGAAAACCAATTAAAGTGTATCAATAACGAAGGATTATCAGTTGCCATATAATACTATTTATTCATGTCTTCTATAGAACACTTCCTTAACGCTACTGTTACTGCGGTACATCCATCTATATATTTATATATACATATATATATATACATATATATATATATATATATCGTATGTATGGTACCTATTCTAGTGTAAAACCACTCTAAGCTCAATGTGCAATTTTTGTAATCTGTTTTTCCTTTACTTGGAAGTTCCTGTTACACTAACTATGACACTTTTCGAGTTATACTACGACAAAGCATTTTCTGGGCAATACTTTCTATTCCTAGTGCATTTTCGATACTTCAATTTAGCCTAAGCGCAACATTTTATACGTAAAAGAGCGGAATATGTATATGTATAGTATGTTTCATTTATGAATCTTTGCATCAACTTAATACGTAATTAAATATATTACCTAATAATAATTAGTATGTTTAAAACACTAAAATCCCGAATCAACAACTGCATTTTGTGTGCTTATTTAATTAGGGGCTGGCTTCGAATGGAACCAGAGTTTTTCAGATGTTCTCTTGGCCCTTGCCAATCCGATGCTGGCATTTGGAAAAGATTCGTTCATTTGTTGGATTTATGATGTGTTATTAACGACCTGCCCTAAATGCCGAAGACAACACCTGATCGCGATGTCAGCGGCAAGCTGAGAAAATAGCTCGAAGAGCTCGCGCGCTTAGCTCAATCCTCAGGTAGACAGGTAGAAGGCAATGCCAAGGTACAGGAATACCCAAATCAAGTCCATTCAATGCAAACAATCAGCAGGCAAAACAGACAATGGGCGACTTTTAAATGCCAATGAGGATGGCTCGAACTCTGTACCAGTCGCGTTCCAAAACTGAATGCTCTTCGAGATTTAATCGTGTGCCTGGTTCTTGTTGTTGTCGATGACGACATATCAGGTTGCGTGCGTGTTGCTATAACGACTCCTGCCTGAAATCTCGATCTCTTTGCCGTCGCGCTCCCGCTCTAACAGTTGCTGTCCCTCTTTCCCCTGCGCTGATCTCTTATACCTGCGCCATACGAACCCTTACGAATTTCAGCGCCCAATATAATTCGGCAATCGCTGCATTTGGGAATTCAGTTATAACTCTCAACTGGAGCGGCACGGTCGTGTCATTCGCTTTAAGAATAAACAAGCATCATGCTATTGAAAGTGAAATTGTTGTATATGTTCGCGGGATCACTGGCATTCGCCTTCCACTTCGATCAGGCACATGGCAAGGCCTGGCAGCGCTCAGTGTTGGAGGACGATTGTGATTTTGATTTCAAGGAGCAGCCAGAGGACTTCTACAGCATGGTAAGCGCATTAGCAAATAAAATCTTTAGAATATTCTAATTCTAATTCTACTGCAGGCAACTGCGACTAGCTCGCATGAAGAGCAAACAAACACTCACCAGAATCTCGGAGTCTTGGAGCTTAAGTCAAAAGCATCGGGGCTCAGACTTCAGGCGCAAAATATCGAAGGTGACAAGCTGCTATTTGGGTAAGTTTCAAGCGCATTGAATTGGAGGTGAGGCGCGTACTTCCACAATAAGCGAAAATAAGTCAACATTTCAATTGCGCTCTTCACGCGGCCATTCACCACTTGGCAGGCACTAAAACAATGGAGATAAATTAAAGAAAATACTTGAATTTGAAATTCTCATTCCACTCCATATGCATTGCAGGAAGCAGGTTCGGCGACATAGCTCATCCCAGGACTACGCCCCGACTCATTCAAATTCAAATGCTGCACCCCCGCTGCTCTGGACCGATGAATCGAAAGATTTTCTGCAAGCCAGTCCACGGATGAGACGGGGCGTAACTGTGCGCAAGGAGCGCACATGGGACTATGGGGTAATACCCTATGAGATAGATTCAATATTCAGCGGCGCTCATAAGGCGTTGTTCAAGCAAGCGATGCGCTACTGGGAGAACTTTACGTGCATTAAGTTTGTGGAACGCGATGCCAAGCTGCACACCAACTACATTTACTTCACAATAAAGAGTTGCGGGTGAGTCGCATGTGCCCTTGCCCTTGCCCTTGAGCCGCATGGCATTAACATGACATTGCACATTTAGATGCTGTTCCTTTCTGGGCAAGAATGGCAGTGGACGGCAGCCCATCTCTATTGGGCGCAACTGCGAAAAGTTCGGCATTATCATCCACGAGCTGGGCCACACGATTGGGTTTCATCATGAGCACGCACGCGGAGATCGAGACAAGCACATCATCATCAACAAGGCAAACATAATGCGTGGTCAGGCGTACAATTTCGACGTACTGTCGCCAGAGGAGTTTGACGAGCCGCTCTTGCCGTATGACTACAACTCCATCATGCACTATGCAAAGAACTCTTTCTCGAAAAGTCCATATCTAGACACAATCACGCCCATTGGGTTGCCGCAAAGCGCACACATCGAGCTGGGCCAGCGACGTCGGCTCAGTCGTGGCGACATTCTGCAGGCCAATCTGCTATATAAGTGTGTTGCTTGTGGACGCACTTTTCAGCAGAACTCCGGACAGATTGCGTCTCCTCATTATGCTTACGCGGACAATGCTTTGCTCAATGAGTACGAGGGCAGTGGTGATGAGGTGCGGAAGGAGACCTCTAACAATGCCCACAGCACCTGCGAGTGGCGGATAACAGCCACCAATGGGGAAAGGATCATTTTGCATCTGCACGATCTGCACCTGATCTACTCCGAGAACTGCACGAAAGACTACCTGGAAATTCGTGATGGCTATTGGCACCGGTCGCCGCTTGTTCGTCGCCTCTGTGGCAACTCCAGCGGCGAGATAATCACAACCGATACAAGTCGCATGCTGATCAATTACGTGAATCGAAATGCTCCATTGGGCTATAGGGGATTTAAGGCTCGCTTCGAGGGTGAGTACGAAACACAATATGCATTATAATACAACTCACAGTTTGATTGCAGTGGTCTGTGGCGGAGACATTCACTTGAGTAAGGGTCAGTCCATAGATTCGCCCAACTATCCGCTGGAGTATATGCCTAGCAAGGAATGCATTTGGCGTATTACAGCACCACCCAACCATCAGGTGGCACTCAAGTTTCAGTCCTTCGAGCTAGAGAAGCACGATGGATGCATCTATGATTACATTGAAGTACGTGATGGCAGTCAAAGCGAGTCGAAACTGATCGGACGATTCTGTGGCGACAAGCTGCCGCCCAACATCAAGTAAGTAAATCCTATAGCGTCCTTTTAGTCGACACGGATTCATTACTCACATCTTACTTAGGACCCACAGCAATCAGATGTACATCAAGTTCGTGTCGGATGGTTCCGTCCAAAAGCTAGGCTTCTCCGCTGCACTAATGCTGGACGTGGACGAGTGCAAGTTTATGCAGCACGGATGCCAGCACATTTGTATCAATACCTTGGGTAGCTACCAGTGCGGCTGTCATGCTGGCTACGAGCTCCAGGCCAATGGTAAATCCTGCGAAGGTAAGTTAATGGTTTTTCTACTCTCTTATCTACTACTATCTGCTTATCCTTTTTTCCTAGCGGCTCATCTCCAGCTAATTTTTCCTTCCTTTTCCTTCATGCTTATATTTTAAGCGCTTCTCATAACCTTTGAACTCCCCTCTCTTACTTACAGATGCATGCGGCGGCATTATAAATGCTACAGTATCCAATGGAACAATTTATTCGCCATCTTATCCTGATTTGTATCCTAATGCCAAGAAGTGTGTGTGGGAGGTGGTGACTTCGATCCATCATTCAGTGTTCCTTAACTTTACGCACTTTGATCTGGAGGGCACTAAGTTGCAGTACACCAAATGCAGCTATGACTATCTCATCATCTATTCAAAGATGCGTGACAACCGGCTGAAGAAGATCGGCATATTCTGCGGCAACGAACTGCCACCCATTGTAAACTCAGAGCAGAACATTTTGCGGGTTGAGTTCCATTCGGATCGTACTATACAACGAAGCGGCTTTGCGGCCCAATTCATATTAGGTGAGTAGCATAAGCGTATGTATATACCTTGTGATGCAATGGCTCATTAACTTCATGCCCCACAGATGCGGACGAGTGTGCAGTGAATAACGGCGGCTGCCAACACAGATGTCGAAACACCTTTGGCGGCTATCAGTGCAGTTGCAGGAATGGCTATACCCTGCACAAGGACGGACACAACTGCACGGAGACCAAGTGCAAGTTCGAAATTACCTCGTCCTATGGCGTGCTGCACAGTCCCAACTATCCGAACGACTATGCGCGTAACATTTACTGCTATTGGCACTTCCAGACGGTGCTCGGGCATCGCATACAGCTTACGTTCCACGACTTCGATGTGGAGAGTCATCAGGAATGCATATATGACTATGTGGCCATTTATGATGGTCGTTCCGAGAATAGCTCCACGTTGGGTATCTATTGTGGCGGCCGGGAGCCCTATGCTGTGATTGCATCCAGCAATGAGTTGTTTATGGTGCTCAAGACGGATGCCGGCCTACAGCGCAAAGGCTTTAAGGCCACGTTTGTGTCCGAGTGCGGCGGCTATTTGCGGGCCACAAACCACACGCAGATTTTCTATTCGCATCCTCGATACGGCAGCCGGTCTTATAAGCACAATATGTACTGTGACTGGCGTATCGAGGCAGATCCGGATAGCAGCGTGAAAGTCAAGTTTCTTCACTTCGAAATCGAGTTCTCTGAGCGATGTGACTATGATTTCCTAGAAGTCACTGAAGAGGGCAACACGATGAACACCATACATGGGCGCTTCTGCGGCAAACGAAAGCCACCAATTATAATTTCGAACTCTGACACGCTCTTATTAAAGTTTCAAACGGACGAGAGCAATGCGCTTCGTGGATTTGCCATATCTTTTGTGGCAGTCGAACCACCGGACGAAGATGGAGGCGAAGACTTTGATGCGGTAACACCATTTCCCGGTTATCTTAAGAATATGTACGCTGAAACGGCACTAGGCGATGAGCAGCCCGTTCAGCATGGACACATTTTGCCGCCCAGTAGACTAATGTGAATTCAATTTCATTGTATTGTAAATAAACTTGTAAATAAATCTAAAAACAAAAAAATGTCTGTTGTGTTTGAATTCGGCGCTTAATTCGCGTTTAAAATTTGCCATTCACATGGATGTAACGTTTCAGCAATATGTGCTAAATAATACCAAAAACGCTTTAGATGGAAAGCAACTCTAGCAAGCTGTTTTCAAAATGGCAACGGCGTCGACGGCGCTTCATTTCGACTCGACATTTTGATAGTTGATTTTTGTTCTGTTAATGTTTTTATTATTTAGTTTGCTGTTACCATTTGTTTATGTCTTCAAGTGTGTAAAGTGTGTTTATTGACTCTTTATTGTTGTCGAGTAGCGTTGTTACTAGTTACTACTATTATCAAGATGAGTGCATTCGAGGTAAGCTCACAAGCCTTTGTATTGCTATATATTCTCATATATTTTGTATCTATATTTAAATATAGGTAAATGTGACCCCTTCCCGTCTAAAGCAAAAGAAATTCGCCGAGATTCGCCAGCCGGTTGATGTGGTTATGGCGCCATTTTCGGCAAAAGCGATTGTGCAATTCGAGGATGTGCCTGTTACCAAAACCGCCAAGCGCATTCTGCGCGTCATTAATCCTAGCGATGATGACATTGAGGTTAGTTAGAAACAGAAACTGAAGCAGAAGCTAGATATAGATCAGCTGCCTGTCAGTCGTCGGCTTGGCAACTTGGCTCGCCCCGTTTATTTGATCAATGGCCGCTAACCTAATTCGTTTATAGGTCAAAGTAACCAAGGCCATCAAAGACGAGCATAATGTCAAGCTTGAATGGATGGCAACTAATGTGCCTGCACAAGATGAAGTGACCATGGAACTGATTTGGATGCCACAGATGGAAATAGCATGCAAGGAAACGCTGCAACTAATAGATAATCGCAATTTTCGTAAGGATGTCATGATTATTCTAAAATCCAGAAGCCTCCAGCCAGCAAGGGTAAGTAGCAAGCGGTTGGGTTAAAATCTCCGTTCATCCCCTATAATACATTTTCTTTCCTTTCTACCTGAAGACCACGCGCAAATTCCCGACGGTTGGCAAGACGCTGCAGTTAAAGTCGCCGACTGGCAACAGTAAATCGCACAAAACCCTCAATGCATCAGTAAATCAAAAAAAACGCTTGTCCAGTGCGCCGGGAAATGCAACAACAACAAATGTGAAGAAACACTGGAATAACGTGCCAGCGGCACGAGTGAAACGAGTTGTATCTGAAGCAAAAGCGCCACTAAGCGATCGCAACGTGCTTGAGGCGGCGCCTCATAACTACAATAGAACCGAAATGAAATCTTACATATCGCCACAAGGTCGCAACTGCAAGGAAAACGTTAGTCCTCTGACACCGGCAAATGTATTCAGTTTAATTGATGACATGCAATTTACACCGCTGACCGACAAGGCTCATGGAGCATCATCAGCGGCTCCCTTGCCAGATAATTTGGCTGCCTGGCCAACTCCAACATTACATGTAAATGGATCTCATGTACATATTCCCGCCAACGAGTTGCGGCCACGTCGACTTGGGTCAGCTCTAGATGAGCCCCACAATGTTACCGACGGCGGCCTAGTTATTGTGAACAAAACATTCGACATAAAGCTTTCAGATACAATGAATATTTCCGTTGACACATTAGATTGTTCACCCAAAAATCAACTAATGCAAACTCCAACGCCTGTTTTGAACAAGACGACAATTTTAGGGCAAACAACACAGCCGCGTGCCTTGGCCTGCATACGCGAGGAGGGCTCCAGCCCTCCGAGGATAGAGAGGCAATCTCCTCCCTCGAAGAGCAAAGTAAATAATCTTAAACGAGACGTAGACCTGGTTGGTTCGCCGTTACGGAAATACTCTGAGTCTATGACTAATCTCTCGTTGTTGTCGCCTCAATCTAAATTTCCTATACAGGGATCTATGCCAAATTTAAATGAAATACAAAAGATCTCCTCCATTGATCAGAATCGTTACTATCAACAACAGCAGCCGCCGTTGCAGCAGGCGGTCAAACAGCGTGTAAATCCGTCTCTAGATAGCTCCTGCAGCAGTGAAACTAGCGCAGCGTCTCAGCCCGATGTGCTCTTCAATCAATGTGAGATTTTGGCTCAATCCAGTCGCTTTAATTTGAACGAAGTTGGCCGCCAAACACGCAAGGGCAGCTGTGTCGTGGTCAACGATAAGGACGTGAAACAGAATAATGGAGCCATCATTGGCTACAAGCGACGGTGCCATGAGCTGAGCTTCTCAGATGCACCCAGCAACGAGTCATTACATCGCAATGAGACGCTGGCCATCTCACCACCCAAACGACAGCGATTTGAGGGCGGCACCGTGACACCTGCCAATGCTTCAGCGCGAGGCACGAAGCCATGGTCAAAGACTCAGCCGAAAAAGTTGAAATTGGCGCAAACTACGTCGCTTATGAAAAAACCTGTCACGCCGCGCAAGAATCGAGATCAAGTTACAGTTAAACTTTATAATTCTGACCTCTATATGCAAGCGTACATCAATCCAGATCCATTTGCTGCAACTACGACTATTGATCCATTTTTGGCTTCGACCATGTATTTGGACGCGCAGGCAGTGGAGCGACACCAGGCGGACTTTATAAAATGGTTAAATGCATTAGTGAGCATACCAGCCGATCTAGATGCGGACACCAATAGCAAAATTGATATAGGCAAGCTGTTCAATGAGGTCCGCAATAAGGACCTGTCGCTGGCACCCACTAAGGAGGAGCAATCGATGAACTATTTGACCAAGTATCGACTAGAATCGCTACGACGCGCCGCTGTGGAGTTGTTCTTCAGTGAGGAAATGCGCCTGCCCTGCTCCAAAGTTGCTGTCTACGTGCAGAAGCAAGCACTGCGCATACGTAGCGATCGAAACCTGCATCTAGATATGGTTATGCAGCGCACCATATTGGAGTTGCTTCTTTGTTTCAATCCCCTCTGGCTGCGCCTCGGTCTCGAGGTGGTGTTCGGCGAGAAGCTGCATCTTCAATCAAATCGCGACATTGTGGGTCTAACTACTTTCATCCTGAATCGGCTATTTCGCAACAAATCCGAGGAGCAAAAGTACAGCAAAGCCTACATGCTAACCGAAGAGTACGCGGAGACCATCAAGAAGCACACCCTTCAAAAAATATTATTTCTGTTGCTGTTCCTCGATCTGGCCAAACAGCGGCGCATTATCAAGCACAATCCCTGTCTGTTCGTCAAGAAATCGCCTCATAAGGAGACAAAGGATATTCTGCTACGCTTCTCTTCCGAGTTGCTGGCCAACATTGGCGACATAACACGCGAATTGCGCCGCCTGGGCTACGTGCTCAAGCACAAGCAGACTTTCCTCGACGAGTTCAACTATGCTTTTAGCAATCTAGCTATAGACCTACGTGATGGTGTTCGGCTTACGCGTGTTATGGAAGTCATTCTGCTCCGGGACGATCTTACCCAGCAACTGCGCGTTCCAGCCATCTCAAGGCTCCAGCGCATTTACAATGTAAAGCTTGCCTTGGGCGCATTGCGCGATGCAGACTTTCAGCTGAGTGGCGATATCAGTGCAGCCGACATAGTAGATGGATATCGAGAGAAAACGCTTTCCCTGCTTTGGCAGCTCTGCTATAAATTTCGGTCGCCCAAGTTTCATGCTGCCGCTCGAGTCGTGCAATCATGGTGGCGCCGTCGCTGGCTGCATGTCTTTATTCGTCGTCGCATTCGTGAACGCGCTGTCATTCGTATACAGACCGCCTTCCGGTCCTACCAGGCCCGCAAGTATGCCAAACTACATAGAGAGGAACGTCTACAAGCCGCTTTAGTCCTTCAGAAATATACGCGTCGATATCTTGCGCAGAAGTATTTCGCTCAAATGCATCAGAGCATTGTCCACATTCAGTTATGGTGGCGTACTACTTGTCAGACCCGTCAATGTCGCAAAGAATTCCTCAGGCTTCGTAAAGCGGCGATATTTGTGCAACGCAGATGGCGACGTCGTATCTTCTGCAAAAAGCTGATGGCTGCTGCCCGTGCTGCGCGTCTGCAACTGGAACAAAAGCGTCACGCAGCTGCCTCCTGCATAGAAATGTATTGGCGCTCTTATCGTTTGGCTGAGGATCAGCGAAAGATCTATATTCGCCAGCGCGAACTCATTATCTTTGTGCAAAGAGAAATGAGGAGCAAGTGGCTAATGCAAGACACACGAAAGCATTTCATGTTGCTACGGAAGTCCACGCTGGTGATACAAAGACGCTATCGTGCTCGCTTGCAGATGCTTGACGTACGACGCCGCTACTTAGAGAAGCGACAGAGCGTCATAACCTTGCAACGTCGCTGGAGAGCAACTCTGGAGATGCGATCACAGGTGGCTTACTATCAAAAGCTGAAGGCGTCCACCATATTGATACAGAGCAGGTATCGCGAGCTTGTCCAGATGCGGCAGCGACGCAGTGATTTTGTGCGGCTTAGAAAGGCGGCTATTGTACTGCAGCGATGCTGGCGCACTCGGCAATCGATCCGGACACAACGGGAGCAATATCAGCGTTTGCGGCAAACGACAATATTATTGCAGCGCCGCTTCCATGCCAACAAGACAATGCGCCTTCTTCGTGCCAAATATCGTGGTACCCAAGCTGCTGTTGGCTGTTTGCAAATGCATTGGCGCAACCATTTGCTTCGAAAGAGTCAGCGTCAAGCATTCATAAATCTGCGTAAAGCAGCAATAAAAATCCAGAGATGGTTTAGAGCTTGTCTGGCCATGCAGTCTGCTCGCAGTAGCTATCAGCGACAACGGGCTGCAGTCACTCGCATTCAGATCTGGTGGCGAAGTCTGCAAGCCATGCGCATTGCAAAGATGCAATATCAGAAGCTTCGCGCAGTTACAATTTTGATTCAACTTAAATTCCGCGCCACGCTAACCATGCGCCAACAACGCTCGGAATTTCTAAGGATTCGAAAAGTCACAATCCATATACAGCAAAAGTTCAGAGGGAAACGCTTGATGATAGAGCAGCAAGCGCATTTACAGATGCTAAGGCGCTCCACTTTAGATTTCCAGTCACAAGCCCGCGGCTATTTAGCCCGTAAACGATTCCAAGCCCTAATGACTCCCGAAATGATTGAGTATCTCAATCAAAAACGGGCGGCCAAGGTGATACAGCGCTACTGGCGAGGCTATCTTACGCGCAAACACCAACGACACGCGAGAATTCAGGCCATACGTCGGCGTCTATTTCAGCTTCGCCAGGAGGCGACGGCTTTCAATTCGGTACGGGCCAAAGTACAGGACTCTGTACGTATACTTCGTGGTCGTTTCATTGCCTCAGACGCGCTAGCCGTGCTCAATCAGCTAGGTTAGCAAATGAAATTTGGGTCTTAGCTAGTTACTAATATTCAGCATAATTTTATTGCAGACCGGCTCTCCCGCACCGTACCCCATCTTCTTATGTGGTGCTCCGAGTTCATGTCCACCTTCTGTTATGGCATCATGGCGCAGGCTATTCGTTCGGAAGTTGACAAGCAATTGATTGAGCGATGCAGCCGCATCATTCTCAATCTGGCACGCTACAACAGCACGACTGTTAACACTTTCCAGGAGGGCGGCCTCGTTACCGTTGCCCAAATGCTAATGCGCTGGTGCGACAAGGATAGCGAAATATTTAACACGCTATGCACGCTGATTTGGGTATTTGCCCACTGCCCCAAGAAGCGAAGGGTTAGTTGCATGCTCTCTTCTAGTTGTTCACTCTTGACTAATATCATATTTTAATTTCAGATAATTCATAATTACATGAGCAATACGGAGGCGATTTACATGGTGCGCGAAACAAAGAAGCTCGTTGCCCGCAAGGAGAAGATGAAACAGAATGTGCGGAAGACACTGGCTCCTGTCGCTGGTCGTCATGGGCAACAGATGCTCAATTTCTCGCCGCGTTCTTTGCCCAGCCTGGAGCCAGACTATGGCATAATACGTGGTAGACCCTATACGTTTATATCATCCGTGTTTGCATTTGACACGATTCTTAGTAAGCTTCATATTGATTTAATTTAATATGTAGACATTATGATGAGCCCGAGAGCTCGACATATTTAAATGGTTCTCTGTTGTAAACTCTTGTCAACTTTTGTATTCTACGTATTAAGTTATGTTTTGTAAATTTTAAAATAAATCAATGAACGATACGTTTTTATATACTGCAGACCTCGCAAATTTGCAATGACCTATTTTTTTGCACGATTTTGCAGTGCTAAGTTGGATGTTTATTTGAATAAGATTCACAAAACAATTAAATATATTTAAATTTAAATAATAACGTTGTTTCAATAATTTATTAATTACATCAATTTGCCATATACATATTTTTTAATGTATATATATATATATATATACTTGGTAAATATATTTTGGTTTACGCGATTCGGTTACAACGAATGATCCTGTTCGGTGTGGGAGACAGAATGCCCCAGATACATATACATAGAAATATATATATTATATATAATAATGCCCCATTAAAATGTACATATATATAATATTTATTTAAATTTGATTAAATCGAATAAATATGTATAATCGAATATATATATTCTCTGTATGTCTGTTCATATTTCAATTGCACACGCCATTTGGTTTTATTTTGTTTTGCTATTTCGGTTTCTTTTTTTTTTTTTGGATTTTGTTTATAAATATTTTTTTTTTATTTTTTGTTGCACTTTTCTATCATAAAATTAAGATTAAACTGTTGCTGTAGCTTAACGCATCAATTGAAAAAAACTAAAATTAAAATTTAAGCCTTTTATATTTATGTAAAAAGAGCGAAGACTACGCAAAGTTCTCAGTTTTAGATTAGATTTTGAATGTTAATTAAGATCGACTCTTGTGCTAGTCTGAGCCATGTAATAGCAACTTGTTATAATAGTTAAAACGTTAAATTAGCGGCTCACAATTGACATCCGATTAGAGTCTAGATGACATCCTAACGCCTGCCCAGGCCAAAATTAAACGGCTGTGGGCGGGTCGTCCGTTTGTTTTGTCGACTGTTTCTGCCTGAAAAAGGGAAAAACAAATGAATTTCTTCCAATGATCCCTTAAGCCTAGCACTCTGTGTGGACTACTCACCCATAGCAGCCATGAAGCCAGGCGGTAGTGCCCTGTAATCAATCTCGTTGTCCTGCTCGTCCTCATAGTCCCCGCGCTTGCCCAATCCAAACGAGTATGGACGCGATCGTTTGCCCAGTCCAAAGTTGTAAACTGGCAGACGCTTCATGCCGGGTCCTCCATTGTTGTACATATAGGCGCGGCGCCCTAGCCCAAAGGCGTAGCGCTCCATACGCTTGTCGATGTCGCCTACATTCTCCGGGCCATCTTCACCAGCATTCAATAGCAAGTCGTTGTCCCCATCGTTGACACCAGAGGCATGGTTGCGTGCCTCCTCCTGGCCAATTATCGGAGTGCAGCAGACATAGCCCAGGCAGCAGAGCGCCAGGAAGAGCAGTTGGGTGTGCAGCATATTCATGTCACAGGTATGAACGAACGTGTCGTCTATCTATCAATCCGTATCTGTAAGGTGTACATAAGTCGATGTAGACAACAATTCATTTCAGCCCTCAAGCAAGTGGAGGGCTACACTTATTTACAATTTCATTTTTGTACTCGTTCACGAAGCTTAAAGAGAGTATATTAGTTGTAACTTAAACAGACTATCAGATGTGAGAAAGTTGTTATAAATCGGGAATTACTATCTATCATTTAAATTAAAATTAGGATGTTGCTGTTAACATGCTCTTTAGATTGACTTCAACTTATAGATGTAGACCTAGGATCACTTTTAGCTTTCTTTACAGATAGACCAATGAGGTTAAAACAAGAGCAAACTATTTATACTATTCAAGTATAGCAAATTTCTGCTTTGTTGAAAGTATTCAAATTATTTGAGATTATAATATTCAGCATTCCTGCTGTTAGCACAGTCAATATACCCCACCATACGTAGGCGACAGATGAAGCAGGAATGTCGCTGGCACGAGAAACAAATACATGCTCGAACATATGTCAAATGGCAACAAATTTTAGCACGCTGACAGGCAAGCGACAAGCAAAATATCACAAAAAAAAAATACAAAATATAAACAGAAACAGAAACTCGCAATGGTACGCTGAAAAATGTGGTCTGGCTGTTTAAGAGTTTAAGAGGCGGCAGCAGATAGTGGAGAGGGCTTTAAGACCTTAGACCTTACAATGCAGCAGACGACATATTTTTGCTGTCCTTGCAAGCTGTACGCTGAAGTTAGTGTTAAGTGTTAAGTCTTGAGCTCAGCAGAATTAGGTTTGCTGCGCGCTTCAGGCTCTGCCGCGGCAATGCCAATGTCCTTGTCACTGAAGTTTGCTGAGTGCGTGGTATGCATAGCTTAATCCTTGGGCGGTGCGACAATTAAGTTTGCGAGCATCGCAACTATTAAAGTTAAGCAAATTTTTAGTAGCTCGAAGCTGGCAGCTGGCAGCTGGCAGCTGTCAACGCCTTTTACCAGGCAATAAACGGGTTGACTCGGAGTCTGTGTGTCAGTGACGCTTATGTCCATTCAGTTTTGTGGCACTGTCAATGCGTAGAGCGCATTGTCATTGGCGTTAATGTGACGCCTCTTCAAGACTTCGTAATTGAAAGTACATAACAGTAAACAGAATGGAATATGCCGCCATCTTATTGTGGCCCGAGCAATGGCTGCCTGCATTTCCGCTTCCCGGAGTGCTTGAGCACTCAGAGCACGTACCCGCTGAAGGGCTGTAACCGAGTGGGAACTGCCAAGTGTTATTATAGTTCTCCTTCCTTTTTTGTGATACAACACTTGTTGTGCTTGCCTAAGACACTTTTCAATTAGAACGCGACTTTCAGACTTTTGGGCCTCCTCAGTCTGCTGCTGCCCCTGCTTGGCATAATTTAATGCGCTAAAGCGCCGTGAGGCTTAGGACTCAATAGTAATTGATGGCCCAGCCCAAATCCCCAGTACGCGCCGAAACACTTAATGATGTGACAACAAAATGCGTTCAATGTTAATTTGGAGTACGAGTTCCTACGGCATTTGGAATCTACATCTCTGAAATTGCACATACGCCACGTTGACAGCCATAAATTGCAGCTTTGCATGTGTGTACGTGTATGTGTCTGTGTATGTGCGCGCGACAACAACAAATCATGCAACAGGTTACACACGCTGGCCACAGCGCCAGAGCCAAGGGCGTAAAAGCGACCCGGCCATGATTTACAATCATGGCAGCTGAAAAGCAGCAGCTGCGCCCATTTCCACGCCGCACAATAAAAGCAACGAGCAACACGAGCTGCGTTGGTAATAGGCGGAAAATCGTCACATTCGCTGGACTTTATCAGGCGACATCAGGCATATAGACATGGACTAGCGTTGACATTCGTGCCGCAATCGTAAATCTGCGGAGCAAAACGTTTTGTAAAACTTCCCATCTTTGGAGCGGACAACTTGCTTGTTGCCGCATTATTGCAAACCATAAACCTTTCGGTGGCGTTGCCGTTGCGCTGCCGCTGCCATTGCCGGTGCAAACAACACCTTAGCAGCATTATCTGTTTATGAATTTATGGTCGTAACTTTTAGTTGAGCTTGCCCTGTGGCTTTCTCATATCCGGTAGCGAAAATGCAGCGGAAATTCAAAATGGTCTTTGCTGTCTTCTAATTAAGTTGAAAACTTTACAGACCACAAAAATTGCAATACCTGAGCAAATTGGCCAACGCAATTGTCTGCAAGGCAGCTAGGTTAAAGGATATGAGCAGCTTACCATCTTCAAAGCAAACGCCAACAGCAATTCCTACACACACACACCCAGCCCGCAAATGAGGCAAAAATTAGCTTTTACACAATTGGAAACGTACGCAGTTTCTGCATACATTTCTTTTTGTATACCCTCAATACTCATTTTCAATGGGTATATTAATTTCTAGCAAATACCCCCTAAAGTATTGTATTCATGATTAAGTTAAAATAGATTTAGCTCTGTCTGTCTCTCTGATAGTCCGTCTATGTAGCTAGACCTGTAATTTTTACTATATATTCTTCCATACTGTACATAGTATACGTTTATTATCTGTTATCGATAAGCCATCTCGATCAATCGATCAACTAGCAATAAAAACTATAAAATTAGGTTTGCAGTTTCTTTGATGAATTTATTTCCGAATTTCAATAATTTGCTCATCTCAAGTTAAAAAGTCTCTGGTATATTTATCAGCCTATCATTTTAAAGGGTATCAGTAGCACCGTAGTTATTCAGTAAATAATTTCATATCGTGGGACTGGGTAAGGAAGAGACCGCTCTTATGCTAAAACAGCAGCTCCTCCAGTGCATCTCCTAGTCGAGTACTCTCGATTGGAGCACTTGTACTTGCTTGTAAATTGAAAGAAAGCTTCGCTGGCTCAACCTTTAGTAAGCGGCTTAATTAAGTTATGCTCAGGTAATGAAGTGGCTAACTTCTTTACGGCAAGTTATGGCGGTTAGACCGCTAATGAAAGGACGGCGAGAGAGAACAATGAGAACGAGAGCAACTAATTTGTTCGGCATAGCCAACAGATTGTGGCAACCTTTGTTTGAAGCACTTTAACATTCTGTTTTCTTTTAATGCATCAATACATCAAAATAAATAATACATGTTCCTTTCGAAAGAGCCCAAACACATGCCTTTGAGCAACCATGTTAGATCTGTTCTGGCATCAATCAGCAGATGTCCTTTGATTTGTTTATTTAATATTTTGGGGTATGGATTGTGGGGCTCAGCGTTATTTATTTAATTGCAATTTGATTGAGGCTTGTCCTTTGTCTTTTGTCTTGTGTCTTAGGGCTCTTTTCTCTGACTTCAACTGACATATGCTCCCATCTAGTGGACCCATTCGACTTTCGTCGTTTCGCTGCGAGCGTTTCACGTAATCAAATTTGTTTCCATATTCGATTTGGGTTTGCTTTTCTTTCACATATTTTCACAATCAAAAAGACAACAAAATAAAATTGCATACTTCTGAGGGTTCGCTCAAATCGCTGTTTAGTGCTTAGAATAAAAACATAACTAAGCTTCACTTTAACTGCGTTTCTTAAGTATTCACTTGGATATTATAGAAATGAGCAAAATGTGAATAATTTCTATTATTCTAACGCTCATTGATATGAATGAAACAGAAAAATAAGTGTTTGTGGCACAGGCGAACAAAGTAACCAATAAAAATTTGGTAAAATTGAGTAGCTGGACTCAGATAATCCGAGTCTGAATCTGAGCTGATTTCTGGATCACATCTAAAACTTGTTAAAATATTTAATAAGAGATTTATAGGGCGCTTGCTTTCTGTTCTATTTTAAAAGTAAGAAGCTGCTTTCTGCACTTAAGGTCTAATAATACGAACTTCATTCAATTATTTTCATGTAATATGAACATTTTACTGCTTTCCTTTGATTTCTCACTCGCCTTTCGCCTTTCTTATAGAATATTTTAATCATCTATACATTTATATCCGTTTTGTAACTTTCTTGAAACATCTACAGAAAACTGGTTACTTCCTACAGTCAATAGAAAATGACAAAGAAGAACAGAAATAGAAAAACAAAAGTATAAAAATATTTATTTATTATTTATATCTAACTAATATAAAATACTAAAATGTATTTTAAATAACGATTTAGTTCATTTTGAAATCTAATTTTAAACAGCAAAAAAATAAGAACAAATTATAAGCATACATTGTTAAAGTGCATATTAAAAGTGCAATACAAATTTTTACTAAACCCAACCATAGAGTTGGTAATCTAGTTTCAAAAAAATATAGAAATATTCAATAGAGAAACGCTGCCAAAATTGTATAATAGCAGGAATTTGATACGAGTTTCGGCTTATACAATAGATTATGTTAACTGAAATTGGTTAATAGTCTATAATGATTTATCTACATCTAATATATATCATTTGCCATATATAAAATGTTTATCGTGAAGAAACCATTCATTCTGAGCCTCATTCCATACTTTTTGGAAAAGAAAACGAATAAAATCTAGCTGATAAAAGAAACTTTTAGCATTTTGATAGCTAAAATTATATTTATACGTCTACTTTAACTTTACCAATATAATTAAGGCATAAATATGAATTGTGTGGAAGTTGTTGGTTCTTAAAAATAAGAACAATTCTTAATGGGAAGCACAATATTTTCGCGATTATTAACAAATAGTTGTTAGTGCAAAAATGATTCGATTTTGATTATGCTTCAATTTATTTTAAACTTACATTTGCAACAGAGAAAACTCCTTTTTGGCGGATTTGTAAAACTGTTTTATTTTTTTTATTTCGCTTAATGTGAATACGACTTTACACAAACGCGTTCCTCAACCAAACTGTTGAAACGGTCCTTTCCCAAACTTGGGGCAAGCTATTCGTTTGCCGTCACTGCAGCACGTTGACAGATCAAATGTCGGTTAACTTTTGAATGCACGGTCGCTGAAGCGTTCGTTCTTATATGAGCAATCCGACGGACTTTCGCGCGCAGTTATCAGCGCAATACCCACAGGAAAAGCAACAGTCGCTGCCAATGACGACAATGTGGTGAACTGACGATGTAGTGGTGTGCACCGTGGTGAGTTTCTTCGTCTGCTTCTCAACACGCAGCGTCCTTGCTGCTCGACCATACCGTTGTTGTCATGACAGCGCCATTGCTGACAGCATGTAACAAGTGGCCGTGACTTTGCTCCGCGGCAATTTGGTGATTTCTTAGCCTTGGCGTATGCTGTGCGCCGCCCAAAAACTTCTTTTTGCTTTACTACTTCCTTCTTTCGCATCACTGCCTACTTTATCATACTTGTACGAGAGATAGATATGCGCAATGACCGACATTTGGTTGACATCGTAGAGATGTGAAAGTTATATATCGATAAACTTAAATAAATAGGAAGATCGAGCCAAAGCCGTGAGGATCGTGCTTTTTGTGCTCCACACACTGCACGAAGAGATCACATATTACCCTTCTCTAGACCGGATTAGCTATCGCAACATTGCAACAAAATATGTTTTCTCTTCTTCCTTTAAGAATTTGTAGTGTTCCTATTTGTTGTTGTGCGAACCTCATTAGCAATAAGAGCGCAATATATGTAAATAAAGCAGCGCCCACGCATATGTATCTGCATAACGGGGAAGTAAATATGTGAGCAACTATTTCTCAATTTCATAGAAATATTGTCAAGCAGCCGAGTGGCGTATTAGTCAAGTGCAGGGCAGCTTTTCTATTCCTTTGCTGTGCTTTCCTTTCAAAGAGGCAGTCAGCTGACAGTTTAAATGACATGCATGTTATTTGTTTGTCTGCTTGTATGTAACTTGACTCCCTCTCCATGTTTAACCTTTAACTGGAACTGTAACATTTCAAAAGCGAAACTATACGGAATTTACGTAGCATGCCTCTATCCGCCTATTTCACAATCTTCCGGGTAGGACAACTAGTCCTGCGGCTGCCTTTCGCGACCTCCATATTTTCTTTTTCCCTTTTACCAGCGTCATTTTGTGCGTATAAATGACATAAAACATTGTTGAACTATTTTTTGAGGCGGAGGAGTTTGCCTGCCTGTTACTATCGAATTCGATCTATGCATATTCAAACAAATATTAAGAGAGTCGTTTGAAATAAATTTGGTAAGCTAAAAATAATCAAAATGTCAAACAAATAGGATTAAGAACAATGATCGCTCAGCAACAACTGCCAGAGCAGATGTAGCCATGAATCAGGATATCGATTAATTGACATCGATAACAGTGCTTTGTGCGTTTTGAGCACACCTTTCATATTTCAGAAGCTTCAGTCAAATTTTGTAAATGCATGGCATTGGGAGGAATACCGAACACAAATATCCTACTTTTTATATATGTATGCCTTTAGGGCGTTCTTCAAAGTAAAAAGTGAAGCCGCTTGGGCTGTATGCTCTCGACATTACAAAAGGAAATATTATCGAATCAAATATCAGATGCGCGAACAGTTAGCATATCTGTTAGGATAAATTTAGCTCTGGAATCCAAATAGTCCCTGTATCGACAGCTTTTCGGATATTTAGAGAGTGTTTAAATCATTTCAGTTATTCCATTTTTTACAGCTTGGACTGTTGGTCCTTGATTAATATAAGTCTTTCAGCTTAACAGCCTATAAGCCAGTACAAACATTTATGTAGATACAAATAGACTTACATATATTACAGTTGAACTGAGACCCTGCCCTAGGCCAGTTTCGTTTATTGAGACTTAATGGAAATGTTGCTAAGTATTCGTTTTTTTATGCAATATTCAAAAGTGTATAAAGCTGCGCGCACTAAATACAGTCAGCAGCTAGAAGGGACACGCGTTGAAAGTATCCTGTTAATTCCTAAAAGCGATTCAGCGATGGCAAATTGCCAACTAGCAAAAGCCATCAACAATTGTCGCCCGCTGTGCGCTTAATTGTAAATAGTTAAGCTACGTAATACAAAAATCGCTGGCTAATTGCAAAATACTGCGATAAATACATGGATATATATTGGGGCAAGTTTTGGAGTTGGCGAAGCTGGGACGCAAGTCCTGATGCGGTCGTCGCTAATTGCCACTTGGGCGTATACGTAACGCTCTGTCGATATGGTCGAGCGCTCTGCGTGGCACAATAATTATCCCAAATCATGATGAACATTGAAATTGCATTGAGATTTACGTGGCGAGATGTGTGTGCTTGTGACTGTTTCAATGAACATCAGTCGTAACAACAACAACAACAGCAACAATGACGTCAACTGATTATAGACATGAGTCGTTCGATTGTCGCTACAAAAAAAGTCTAGCTATCTATCCAGGATTATTCACCACAGCATAGCGATCATAAATCTTAGCATTGATAACTGACGGCTCATGACGAACATGGCATGACATATCCATATATGCATATCCATATCCACAGCCATGGCGCACGGCCCGGCCAACCGCTCGAAGCGTGGTAGGCTAATCTCAAAGGTCGCCGCGTTACACACCGGAACAGGTTAATAAATTTCCCAGTGGTCCGAGTGTGCTGTCAAAGTCATTAGCCGAGTTCCATGGCATATGTTTGTTTGTGCCGTGCATATTGCTGTTACGCCAGCCTCTGTCAGCGTCTGTCGAGGATATCGAGTGCTGCACTGGCCAAAAAACACCAAACAGCTGCAAGCCGAAACTCAAGTAATTTCAATTTAGTGCTCCAGTAGACAAGTTCAGCAATAAATCATCATTTGCAGCACTGGCTGTGGCTCCGGCTGTATCTTTGGCTGTGGCTACGGGGGCAAAAAACCCGCGGCAACCAGCCAACCAGCCAACCAACCATCCAACCAGTTTAGCCCACACCTACTCCAACACACACACACACACAGCTGCATTGTAAACTTCCCACCGAAAATGCATAAGCAGAAAAATAAACGCCAAAGAAAACATTTTTAGTACTTGTAAGATGACAAAAAAAAGTAAGAAGAAAAAATCACGATTTTTATGCAGGTTTTCGGCGATTTTTCCCACAACAAGTTTTTTGTTGGTTTTTAATTGATTTGGCGCATGAGAAAAAAAACGCAGTGCAGCGCAAAATGCACTTGAGATCCAGATGAACTTATGTGGCGTTAGATATTAACAATAACAACAACAAAAGCAGCAGTATCAGCAGCAGCAGCATAAGCTAAAAGTCAACACAGACACACGCATACCATGTGCACGTATTAGAATATGTACAAAGTGTTCTCGTAATTAAAATTAGAACAAAGTCGATGTGTATGTGTGTGTGTGTGTGTGCAGTTACATGCTCTGGCATTTCCATATGTATGCGCGTGCAGGCACATTTGTGTAATGGTGTGTGTAAGGCAGAAAGTCAGCAAAGAATGTTGCTGCTGGCCTCTCTTCAATGCGGCGCTACGTCTGCCGTTGTTGACTCTGCTGCCGGTTTCTTCTGAGTGACACACTTTTTTTGGACAGAGCCGATGGCAGGGCCAGAAGTAGGTGAGCAGCGGACGCCAGCGTTATATATGTGCGCATGTGTGTGTGTGTGTGTGTATGTGTACATATACATATAGTTATACTTGAACGCATGTATGTATGTGTGCGCTATCCATTCTACGCTTCGCTGCATTGAAATTTCTTTTTCGCTTTCTTTTCGAACTCTTCAAAGCTCCAGCACTTACGCTCTTTCTCCCTCTCTCTCTCCTTCTCTCTCTCTCTCTCTCTCTCTCTCTCTATCTATGCTATTCTCTTAAAAAGTGCTCTCTTTATGTAAAAATATCTCTTCATCTCTCATTACCTCTCACCCGCTCTTTCTTTCCCACTGTGTGCGCTCGCGGCATTCTTGCTGCCACCCACTGGAGCCGCAGCAACGTCGCTGCGACGCCATCTTTTGTGTGTGTGTATTCAAGTATATGGGTCAACTTGAAGTTCTTGGAGAAAACTGGTAGTTCCAGTCTGTGGCTCGCGAATGGAGGAAAGTGATATGGTCACTTGATCGAAAGCGAATGCGCTGTTGCTGGCGCTGATGTCGACGTCAGCGTCGCCGTTGCCATTGGTGTCGGCGTCGACATCGGCGTCGGCTTAGACGTTGACGTCGCGATCGTTGTTTATGTCATTCTAAATGCGCCTGGTGACCGTTCATAAATTTGTTTCTAGCTAACAATGAGGTCAGGTTCAACGTTGGATATTTGCTGACATTTCCGTTTTAGGGCCCGGCTGTTTAACGTTGCGTATGCGCAATCGCAATGCACAATACTCAATGCGCAGTGCGCAATGTGCAAGGTGCAGCAGTCCAAACAAGAACAACAAAACCAACAAGACGCTACTACAGGGCACTCAAAGTGATTCAAGCCTATTTGCATTCCAATTATGTAAACTAAACGATTCGGCCACATAGACAAAAGTTTTTTTTCTTAAAATATATATTGTGAGTGGAGTGAAGCTGCTGCTTCTGCTGCCGCGGCAGCGGCTGGTGGTGCTGCCAAAAGGTGAATGAAACCTGATGAATGCCAACAAAAACAACAATCATGAATTTGTATGTATGTGTATGTGTATGTGTATGTGAAAGGCAACAGGTGAGCCGCCGCCGCTGCAGCGCTTACTGATTTTCACCTGGTGGCGTTCACCGTCTGAAACTCATGCGCGTGCACTTATAATTTACTAAAGCATTGTCGTAATTGTTGCTTTTGTTGCTTGGAGCGTGCGCTTGGAATTCGCAAAATGTTATAAGCAAAAACGAGCAACAAATAAGTAGCAAAAGTACAACACAATTTGCTACCACTCAAAAAATAAAAATAAAAACAAAAACAAAAACCAAAACAAGCAAGCGGAGACGACGACGCAAATATTACACAAGCGCAGCGTCGGCGCAGGCATCACAAATTACATGCTGAGCGCCAGGGGAAAGGGAACTCGAGAAGGGAAGGGGCGAGGCCATTAGAAACTAAGCTGCAATCAAGAAAGCTCTCGCGCGCAGCTTAGTAAGCCGTCGCCGTCGCCGTCGTCGTTGCCGCTGTCGTCGTCGTCGTCGACGTAGTGAGCGTCATCATCATCACAGCAGCAGCAGCAGCAGCGGCGGCATCCCAATGCTAGTCGCACACTGAATCAATAATTTTGTTCTACTGCAAATTAAAACATATATTTATTTACTTTCAATTATTCTTGTCGAAATGTTGTTCTATTTTTAAAATATAATATATATATTTATTATTATCACTATTTGCTTAGACGATCGATCATGCAGCTCACAGATATTTTAAATGTGTATTTAAATCGGCTTTTGCCTAAACGCTCACCAGTGTATATCGACTGCAAAGTGTAGAGAAATTTATCATTTCACTGCAGCGCCCACCAGCAGCAGCAGCAGCAGACACAACAACAACAACTACATTGCAGACGACGATCGCAGCAACAGCAGAGAGTTTTTATTTATTTTATTTTATTTTGGCACTCAGTTGGCTCCCATGTGGCTCAGGCGCGCTCAGCTGACGCTTGTGTTGGCGTTCGCGCTCTGCACACGCTCTCGTCCGCTCTCTTTGATACTCAACGCTCATCGTGGTTGTCGTCGCAGCCATCGCTGCTGCTGCTGCTGCTGCTGTGACTCTGGCTGGCTGGCTGGTAACGCCACAAAAACAACACCACAGTTTTTCGAAATTAGTTCTAGTGAGTCTGTGAAAGTGTGAGCGACTATCGGACGACGGCGACGACCACAACGACGAGGAGCAGAAACAACTTTACTTTGAGTTTTGTTTCGTGCACACGCGCGTTCACCAAGCAACCCACACACTCAGCGAGCGGATCAACTGCTGCAAGACTTTGAATCCAACTGGGCAAAGGCTATATTCACTTTGCACATATAAACAGCAACGTCAACAAGTGGGCAACTGTCAAGCCAATATATCAAAACCACATCGTAGTTCAACCGTCACCCCTTCGTCCGTCGCTGATCAATAAGTCGATTCTAGAACACGTGCAAGATGTCGCATCAGTGCAGCTGCGGTCGCGATCTAAACAACAATTACGTGTCCTATACGAACGCCTACGCCAATGCAAATACAGGCCTGGATCGGGAGGCCAACGCAAATGCCAGCAGCAAATCCAATGCCGCGCACCACACACAGCTGACGGCCAAGGTGATGTTCGGCACAGTGGGCGCCATCAAGGAGCTGCGCGACAAGGAGCAACAACAACAGTCCAGGCATGCGGCCACCCGTGCCGGCGACCGACGTCAATAATAGTGGTTGGGCGGTTGGTTGGTTGGGCGTGGCTTACAGGCAGGATGAATCGACGAGTGCTGTGCGCTGACAAATTTGAAATTTAGTTGCGACACACAGCCAAGCCGGGGCCAGATTCGGAAACTCTGCTAAGGATTCTGATAGCCCAAGGGCCGGGGGGTCATGTTAGAGGCTTAAAAGTGTTTAAGGAACAATGCAATTGTTAAGGCAAGTGTGCGAAGAGAGTTGGATTCACATTCCGTTTTGTAAAATCTGATCTATTTACCCAATCACATTATCAAAACTCTATAGAGAACAGCCCAGGCAGTCCTCTTCTGCACAGTCTAAGTTCTTATACACTTCATCTATCTATCTCTCTCTCTCTCTGTCTCTCTATCTCTATTTCTAACTTGTTCTTTTATGTTCCTGATTCGCAAATATTTCTCTATAGATTTTCACCTATTTCCTTAGCGTGTCCCTTTCCCAGTTACAAGAAGTTTTTTTATTGCTTTGGGAATTTCTTCGTTTGAGCTTTACACAATTTACCGTTGTTTTTCTTGCGAATTTTTCACATAGGCTTTTGGGTGTAACTCTTATACGACTTAAGTGTATGAGTATAAATTTATTTTTGAAATAAACTTATGTAAATTGTTTATCGTAATAATACTATATAGTGCAATACTTTAGCTACATACACATATACACGCGTACTCTCAACTCACACACACACATACATATATTATGCATAATTTGTAAGTTTATTTTTTATGGTTAAGTACACGACACATTTGAAATGTAAAGTTTCGGAGCTCGCTTCTGGAGGTTTCCAGACCGAATCAAAAGTAAAAACTGATATGCTGATCAATTCGGAAAGAAAATAAACAATTCAAATAAAACTGGTTTATTAAGATATTTTTGATGGAAGGAAAATTATTGCTGAGTATTCAGAAAGTGTCTGCATATAAAACATATGTATATTGTATTTATTATACCTAATATTAATTTTATTTTATACCAATGTGTGAAAACCTAAATTAACATACAATAAATGCAAACAAACTCTAAGATTTTTAATCAACAATACTTGCATTCAACTTCTTAAGACGTTTCAAAATTCAATTAAACTTGTGCAACAAAAGGGTAAAGAAATTATAAGATGAAGAAGAAGCTAACTTATCAGCGATAAATTGAGGGGGTTGACAAACACAAGCGTGGGCATTGCCATTGTCATTATGATTGCTCTGAACCTTTTTGCCTGCGTGTGAAAGTAAAACACCAGCGAGAGAAGAAATATATAAAAAAGCAAAAATTTTAAATTACAATAGAGCGGTTAAAAAAAGAACGAAATGAAAGCGAAGTCTGAATCTGTCAAATGCAAACGATTCTTTGTTCAATGCTCTACCCGCTCTCTCGCTGCTTTGGCATTCCGGTCTCGCTCTCTCACTCTCGTTCCCTCTTCTAACTGTGACTCAATTTCGATTCTAACCGCAACAACTTAATGTCCATCGATAGCAGTGTGTGGGCTCGCTCTCTTTCCCACTCTCTCTCTCTCACACTCACTCTCTGTCTTAGTGAGCCGATTCGCTCGTATATTCTTACGCTTGTAACAGTGACCCAGTCTCAGTTTTACAGTTCGCCACAGTTGCCGTCACCCCTCCCGCTCGCACAATCACAATCGTCATCAGCCACATTCCATTTCATTTCGTATCGACGCCTACGTCGCGCGCTCTCGCTTCTTGCGCCTCGCATTCTCTTCGTGCGCCGCTCTTGATGGATCAAAGTTTGTCGTTTGCCTTTTCCTCCGTTTTCTTTACGAACTGCGCACTCAGTTCAATTGAATTCAATTACCCAAGTGCGTGGCTATTGCCAGCAAATTAATTTGCTTACGTACATTTCATTTAAGAGATCTATACGTAACGCGTTTACGTAGCTAGAACGGTCTGCGCCCCATTAGCCAGATGGCATTGATATACATTCACACAAATGTACATATGCGCTCAACTAACAATCAGCATTGATCGAAGGCTTATCTAATGCTTTGGAATCATATAAATGTTATGACTTGTTATTTCAATTCGGCCTTATCTTCAACAATATTTTATTGTCACTAATGTAAATTAATCGTCAGGCCAATACATTTTTACAGCTTACAGTACAGAAACCTATAGTCTCCACACTTAATTAAAGGAATTAATATTTTAAATTTTTTTTAAATATGTGTATCTATATTGTAGATTCTACGAGGAAGAATTAAGAAGGGGAGCCATACTCTGTTTCGGTGAAATTTCTACCTCTACTCGATATTTGTATTTTTAGAAAATCAGCTATGCTTATCATAAAAATACAAATTTTATTACCTTCTAAAAATGCTTTAACGTTCGCAGAATAAACAAACACGACTTTAAAATTCCTTTTTTATAGCCATGGGGTCTAAGGGAAGAATGTACAAGGTGAATTAAAGGAAATATTATTATAAACATTAGGAATTCAATACAAATTCCTCGCAAATCATACAGACAAGGGTTCAAACTCCAGCATTCATATCGAAATATTTATTTAAACAACTTAGAACTAAACTTTATAAAGACTTATAAAATACATACAGTAGAATTTGAGAGAATATTGGAGCTTATGTAAAACTAAACTATTTCGTAAAATTGGTAAAAATTAAAACACACAAATTTTCCGCTTAGCGTTAAGCAAGACCTTAAACAATTAATTTTGATGCAACTAAATTAATTAAAATTGTTTCATGCTATACAAATATAAAAGAGGTAAAGATTATAAGTAGATTGTGGGAATTTACTTAAAATATAAAATGAAAAATTTCTGACTCTTTTAAAGGGTGTGTGACAAGTTAATACGACATACCATGTCCATCTGCATGAGAACTACAAAAGCTATTGACCTGATCTAAGTTCTTGAAAATCGCTAAAAATTGATTTCAGATAGAATTCAGCAAGAGGCATCCAGTTCGAAGAAATATCAAATAGGATAACATAAAATTATCCTTTAAATAAATACAAGCATAAATTATTCCCCATTTTCAAGGTATAAGAAAATCAAATAATGTTTAAAAAACAGTCGAAAGAAGAAGCTCAGGTATACAAAACTTGAGATATTCCAAAAACAAATATATTGTGTATGGATAAACCTGAAGTTTTGAAAGGTGTCTAGGGTATCCTCTAGTCAAGCACTAACCACCTAATTGAAATTCTATAATAATTTTTTAGCTAGAATTATATGTTTTTTTTTTTTGAAATTTTATAATGCATTATTTTTATTGTGTACACATATTTGTATATATTAAAATTTAATTTTATGTTAAGTAAGGATTAATTTTTGTTTTATTTTTCATCGCTTTCTAACAATTTCATTTCGAAAATTGTGTCTGGTTGACCTTTTGGGTAATTCAGTTTGGTTTTCCCCAAGGTAATTTTAGACTCTCGTGTGATCAGTTAGAGATCAGTGAGTCAGCTTTTGGCAACTGTGATACATCAACTGGGTAATTTATGAGGTGCAATTTTTAAAATCTTTCCGCTGTTGGGTGAGGCGGCAATGGCAGAGAGTAAAAGCATCTTTGCCCTCCAGGCGAAACATTATTTGTGTGTCGCTTTTTCACTTTTTATTTTGTTTTTGTAGCAAGAACTTTCTCTTCTAATTGAAAGCAGTTCGATGAGACGCAAGATAAGCGAACAACTCGGGTTTGCCCCGGGGCCTAGAAGCTAGTACCCCAGCTATGAATGGCGATCGATGAAGTTGCCCAGACATTTTTGCAGCCTCTGGCAATTTTATATCTCTCAATATATGTATATACGGAAAAAAGTCGGACTGAAAATAAATAATAAACATGTAGAAGAGTGAAAAAAAAAGATAAATAAACTGCTACTACGAGATGCCAGCAGCAGCAGCAGCAGCAGCAGCAACAGCAGCAGCGAGAACTGGTCGCTCGTCAGGCGTTGATCTTTTTCTTCTTTTGGTGAGCAACGGCGTCGCGAGTTGTGGAAGTTTTTTGTGGCATCTGCGGTACTCTGGCTCCAGCTGTGGCTCTGGCTCTGGCTCTGGCTCTGGCTTTGCCATCTCTGTCTTTTTGGCTTCTAATGGTAGCTGTATGGTGAGAATCGATTTAGTTCGGTTTACGGCGATCAAAGATACAAACGCGAAAAAGTTTCTATTTTGTGAGCGGCGCACGGCATTCAAAAGTGAAACAGCCTGAGGAAGAGGAACAGGAAGAAAAGCAACAATAGCAACAGCAAGCCACAGACAACAGTCACATTGAGCGTGAGTGAATATCTGTCATCGCCTGTTCATGACACAGAAGCAGAAGCAGCTAGCAAGAGTGATTGGAGCACGTTTCCTGCTACTTAATTGCAGCAGGTGTTAATCAATTTGGCTGCAAATTCAATTTGAGGTATTCAATATCAATTTCCGTTTTTTTTTCTTGCGAAAATATCATGAAAATTGATTACGCCGGCTTAATGGCCAACTTGCCACAGTTGGCTAAGTGAGCGTGTCCTAAGCCATTCGAACAAATCGTTTCGACTCTGGCCAGCAAATGCCTCTCTAAGCCAACCAATTTCCTGGCTGATTCAACTGCTGCAAGGCCGCTGCCACAGGCAAAGAAGCGCCATATGCAAAATCTTGGCCATTAGCATTAAAGCCAAATAAATAAAATTCTAATTGAATAAAACTGAGTTTATCATGAGCAACACTAAGTTGTTGTTGTTGTAAAATTAATTCAAATAATAATCCAAATTTTTCGCTAATTCCCTTTTATTATTATATATAATATATTATCTTATATATCTCTTGGTAAGCTTCTATTGTACGATATCAATATAATCATCTCAATCTTTATTAATAGAAGGTGATTTTTGTATCACTTATTAAACTTCATTCCAAATTACGTACTTTGGCACGTGGACTTGAGATGAGGATAAATAAAACAGATTTTTATAATGGTTTTATACATATCTCACATTCATTATTTATGCACATATATCAATATTTCTCAGGGACAGAGATGCCATTTCAGAGTTTAACTGGAACTTGACCTTTTCTAGTATTAGAGCAACTAAGAACCTTGCAGTCGGACGCACCGACTGCTTAAGACTCGTTTACGATCCATAACTTTTCTATTACAAAATAAATGCTTTCCGAGTAGTTCCAATACAATGGGTAACTACCATATCAGTCCTTCAATATAGAATAAATATTTATATTGCAGCGAAATATAATTGTGTTCTATTTGACTGTCCCAACTTGAGTCTTGACTGTTAGTCTTGCTGTAGGTCCGTCTGTCTGTAAGGACCCAAAACATTTCATTGCTACTCTCAGCTCACAAAGGAAAAAAGGAAACATAAACGTTATTATTTAAACTTTTTTTTTTAATTGCTGTTTTTTCTTTTTATTATTTAAATTGACTTTGAATTTGTTTTAAATACTCGTGTAAGCAACTCCGCCAAAAAATATATTACTATATGAATTTAGCAGCAGAGTCTGTTTTCTAGTATC